TACTCTTTGATTAGAAACCCCGTTCTCTGCTCGCTGCTCTCTGGGCGCCGTCCTCTGATACACTGCCGCCAGCCCCGTCACTGCCTCCGCCACCACCTTCTCTGTGTCCCCAGCTCAGCCCACCCTGAGGAGATGAAAGGCTGAAAATAGGCAAGAGAAGATCGTTGGAAAGAAGCCTTTTATTGACCCTGAGTGTGCAGCAGCATGGGAGACCAGCACAAAGGGTGTGCCCGGCTGGATCAGAAAGGAAGCTACAGAGCCTGCTTTTTACAGCCGTAGAGGGATGTGGTGAGGATGCGGACTGACACCAATCAATCACAATTAATCCCGCCTGCAGACGGAATTCATCGTGGCCCGAGTCGTGGCAAGGCCCCCTCATGCAAATGAAGATCTGTTTGTACCAATCACTGGCCTTTTGCTGGGCTGTGTGCCCCCCTTGTGGCCTAAATAAGGATAACTGCTGGTCCTGGCAATGGTGGCGCACGCCTTTGATCCCAGCTCTGCCAAGCAGAGGCAGGCGGATCTCTGTGAGTTCGAGGCCGGCCTGGGCTACCAAGTGAGTTCCAGGAAAGGCGCAAAGCTACAAAGAGAAACCCTGTCTCGAAAAAACCAAAAAAGAAAAAACAAAAAGAAAAAGGCCCTGGCTGAAAAAGCGCCCTCTTAAATCACGCTTGTGCTTTGCAGCCTGCAGCCGTGGTTGCCGTGTGCCTTCCTCAGGACCCTCATGAGTGTCCAAAGTGTCCACATTAACGTTAGGGTGGCCCAGCTACACAAGTGACTGACAGTCCTTGCTAAAAGCAGCCAGAGCACCAGAGAAGGGTCTACAGCAAATTTCCCCAGCCCCCAACAGCTTAGTTTATTTAAAGGAAGAATAAACATTAAGAAGGTTGGTTGGAGGGTTATTTGCAATCATTAATATCAATGTTTGACAGGATGGTGACAATAAGCTTACCTTCTACCTCAGCATGGTTCTCTCTAATCTGTCTGGCCTTGCTATCTGAGGAGAAGGCTTCTAAGACCCCTCCCTGTTCAAAAATGTGTGGTTTCTCAAATCTGTACATACAATAATGTAGTGTTTGCTTACAACTCCCACATACAGCACTAATGCTGTGTCCGTTGTTAAACTGATTGGTTAGGGAAGAATACCAAAGAAGGAGGCTGCATGTTCAGTACAGATACAAGGTTTGCTTCCTAAGTACTTTTCTGTCTGAGCCTCATTGAAGCCCCCCAGAGAGCTCCTGCAGTCACCCAGGACCAGCTGAAGTGTGGGGAGCTGCCCTGTAGCACTGAGCGAAGGCAGGGTCCACAAAGCCACGGTGAAGAACGTGCGCCCAACTCGCACCCTAGTCTTTCCTGGATGTGTGATTTCGAATAAATGGTTCACATCTCTGAGCCTCCCTTTCCCTTGGCTAATACCGACTTTCATGGCGTCATTAACCTAAAGATAGATAGCGTGGGGTGCGTGGCCAATCATCGGTGCCCCATAAATCCTTTCCCACAAAGTGAGTCGCACAGGGATACTTAAAGAAATCCTTCTTGTGGTGAGAAGAGTCTCTTAGAAATTTAGGTTTGCTGGAAGAAAATTAATATTCAGAAATCTGAATTTATAAAACAAATTAATCCAGAAGTGACTGTTTACTTTTAGGAGGTAATCACTCAATTTTAATCAGTGTTTTTTGGGTTTTAGTGAAGGTAGGACTCACCAGGGAAGCCTGTTGAAGGTGCATATTATCCCTGGGTACCAGGCCCAGAAGGTTTTTCTTTGAGTCGAGCTGCTGATAAGCTCAGGTGTTTGCATTTGAACATGAAAACACTCTCCCTTCCCAGGTGACTGCCGCTCACGTAGCGCCTCCAAAACAGCTTGCAGCCGAAAGCCTCCTGTGTATATTCCTTTTAGCTGTTTTTCATGGACACAGAAACAAACAGAATAATACGGTGGATTCTCCCCGCTCATCAGCCAGCTGCCGTAGAGATCAACCCCCAGTGAATTCTGTTTTATTTATACCCCCGCCATATTTCCAAACCAGGATATTTTGAAGCAGATCCTAGGAATCATCTCATCTTCGTGTTTGCTTATATAATTCTAAATTATGACTCTTTCATAGCAGTGTGTATAGTGTAAAGGAGATGAACTTTTTAAAATATGTCACCTTATCATTTACACAGCTAAAAGAAATCATTCCTTTTCAACCCATACCTAATTAGTATTCAAAGTCAAATTTATTTTGTAATGTGACTTTTGTTTTTAAGTTTGTGTATTTCAGTAGGCATTTAAATGCCATCTACATACTGTGATTGGTGGATATTCTTCATCTCATCTATAAATTTACCTCTGTTTCTTTTTCTCTCAGAATTTTCCTGTTAAAGTGACTGGGTTGTTCACCCTGAAACTGAAGCCATCTGTAAAATAAAAGGACTGATAGTGAATATTTCAGACTGTGTGTGTCGCGATTGGTTTCCGTCAGATTCCTGTAGGCTTTATTAGTCACGTGATTTCTGTTATATTTTTCACCATTGTATTTACATCCCTTAAAAAACAGTAAGCTTGCCGGGCGGTGGTGGCGCACGCCTTTATTCCCAGCCCTTGGGAGGCAGAGGCAGGCGGATCTCTGTGAGTTCGAGGCCAGCCTGGGCTACCAAGTGAGTTCCAGGAAAGGCGCAAAGCTACATAGAGAAACCCTGTCTCGAAAAACCAAAAAAAAAAAAAAAACCAGTAAGCTAATCTCAGCTCAACAGGGCCCGTTTCCTGACCCGCCATGGCTGTGCTGTCCAGTAGGGTCACTACCCCCACGGTGGCTATTTCGAGTTAAATAAGAATCTATTTTTTCAGACACCATAGTGCCACTTCAGATGCCCAGAAGCTATACACCTTGGTGGCTCCTGGATTGGATGCAAAGTTACCCTCATCTAGATTTGCCAACGGTGGTGGATGAGAATGACCCCTCCTAGGCTCATAGATTTGAATGTTTGGTTCCCAGCTGGCAGACTGTTAAGGAAGAATTAGGAACTGTGGCCTTGTTGGAAGAGGTGTATCACTGGGGGTGGGCTTTGGGGTTTCAGAAGCCCATACTAGGCCCAGTCTGTCACTCTGTCCTCTCTCTCTTCTCTTCTCTGTCTCTGCCCCGCCCCCATCCCCTTCTCTCTCTGCCTCCCTCTTGAGAATAAGATTTAAGCTTTCAGCTACTGCCCCAGCACCATGCCTGCCTGCCTGCCTGTTTTTCCACCATGATGATTATGGATTCACCCTCTGAAACTGTAAGCAAGTCCTTAATTAAATGTCTTCTTTTAAAAGTTGCCTTGGTCATGATGTCTCTTTACAGTAGTAGAGCAGTAGCTAAGGAGTTACTCTCAGCACTGGGGAGGTAGAGGGAGGTGGATCTCCGTGAGTTCGAGGCCAGCTTGGTCTACAGAGCGAGTTCTGGGACAGCCAGGGCTGCACAGAGAAACCCTGTCTCGAAAAGCAAAACAAAGAAAACAAATAAAGAGAAAAGTAACTAAGCCAGGTGGTAGTGGTGCACACCTTTAATCCCAGCACTCAGGATGCAGAGCCAGGTGAGTTTGAGGCCAGCCTGGTCTACAGAGCGAGATCCAGGACAGGCACCAAAACTACACAGAGAAACCCTGTCTCAAAAAAAAATAAAAAAATTTAAAAAAAGGAAAATAACTAAGACAAGACACCAACCTTCATTTCCATGGCATGGTTTAATGTGTTCCTCTCTGTCTTGGTCCTTTTGTATTGCTATAAATGAATACTGCAGGTTGAGTACTGTGTGGAGAAAAGAAAAGTACCTTTTACAGTCTTGGAGGTTCAGGAGCCCAAGGTTGAGGGACTGTATCTGTGAGGGACTTCTTGCTGCCTTCTAACATGGCAGATAGCACCCAGGAAGAGAAAGCAAAAGGCACACAGAGGCACACCAGGGCCCAAGTTCATGTATATAAATAACAAGCCCATTTCCTTAGTAGCATTAACCCACTGCTGGGCCCTGCCTTAGAAAGGTCCTACCTCCCATAGTACATCGAGCTTCTTTTCAGCACAGGAATGTTGGGGCACTTGGAAACCTAGGACTCCGTCCTCTGCATTTTCTGTAAACTGGGTTCCTATAATTTGTGACTAGAGCTTGGTCAGACTGATGCTTGATTCCCCATCCCCATGTTCCACTTGTGGGTTAAATGTCTTTATAAAGGTGCCTGGGTATTTTTAAACATTTAATACACACATTTAGACCACTTTAAATGCAGAAAAATCCCTTTCGAACAACACGTAATGTACTAAATACTAATTTTTGGTAAGAATTATAGTAGCAATGGTTATCTTTAAGATAAAATCGCATGCAGCGGAGGTGATGTTGTTTTAGCTGAGCAGAAGCTCCTGTCGGTTCACTGATCTCTGCAAATCCACACAGCGGAGACTATTAACCCAAGCCTTTAGGAGGCCAACCGGTTTTTCATTCTTTAATAGTGTTGTGGCAGTAGGGTATAGGTAGAGCTAAGAGGGTTGTTTCATAGTTATTTTTGTGGAATGGAATCTTTTCAAGATTCTTTGTATTCCTTTTCTTTCAATTTGATGCCATTTTGAAAATTAAATTTTAAAATTCTGTCTTAAAAAATGAACCAAAACAAACTTAGACACCACCCTAACAGATCACTTAGTACTTTAAAAATCCATTCTACATCTAGATAGTGTCTGTAGAATTACAAGTTTGGTACTTACCAGTGCCTACATTTAAGCATCTGCTAATCTTTGGGCTAAACTTGAGCCCCTGAATTTAAAAGGAAAGACAAGAATGCTAAGCAGTTGGCATGCCGGCAGGGAAGAGCTCTTAGCTCATCTCATGGGTGCTAGACAGCTGACCAGTTGGTTCAGACACGACGCTTTCATGATTCAAATGGGAGCAACAACTTGTAAATAGCTTTTCAAATAACAACCGTTAGGATGGAAATTCTAGAATGCTATATTGCTCCATAATATTATAATTGAATATAATCAACTAGAAGCAATGAACCAAGGCCTGGGGGATCCTCCTGGGTAAAGGTACTTGCTGCCAAACCTGACAGTCCACGTTCACTGTCTGGGACCCCCATGGTGAAAGGAGAGCGCCCACTCCACAGATTGTCCTCTGCCCCCCACATTCGCACTGTGGTACACATGCCCCCACACATGGACGTTGACACGGAGAGATACATGTTAGGAAGTAATAGGGGTGGTGGTGGAGAGATGGTTCAGAGATTAAGAGCGCTTGCTACTCTTCCAGAGGACCCGAGTTTAGTTCCCAGCACCCACGTCAGACCGCTGACACCTTGCTTCCAGCTCCAAAGGACCCATCAAGCCTCATAGGCATCCAAACACACATGGCATACACCATACACATTTAAAAAAATTTAAATGAATAGATAAGTTGAGGGGCTGGAGAGATGCTAAGAGCACAGTATTGCTCCTGCAGCAGACCTAAGTAGGACCCCAGCACCCACATTGCATAGTTCACAACTGCCTGTAACTTCAACTCCAGGAGGCTCCAGCACCTGTGGCCTCTTCTAGCACCCAATCACCTCTGTGCTTTTCTACACACATACACATGATTAAAAATAATAGAAATAAATCTTACCCCCAAAGCAATGAAAAAAAAAAAAAAAAGCTGGAGGAAAAAGGTAACACTAGCTTTAACAGTTGATGAATTCTTAAATACTGAACTTCATTCTCCCTCCCGCTCTGAGGAATGGTAATATTCACAAAGAGGAGATTGCTCGTATTCACACATGTGACTGTGTGGTTCTCACAGTGAGTAAATTAGTAAACTGTGTCTGGGTTTGTCATATGGAAAAAGACTAGTAAGCCATGTGTAAACTCTTGAGACAATAATGCTGCTTTGGGTTTTGGTATTTTAATTAATCAGCATACTGTTCTCATGACTTGATGTCCTGAATATCTAACCTTTTCAGTTCTGTCAGTTGATTCCCTGCAATGTTTGTAATAAACCTTTCTTTTAAAACGAGGATACTTTAAGACAATCTGATTGTGTAGACTTTTCCTTAATAGCCAAACAAGGGAAAGAAGCAGAAATCATTGAACAGTTAAGGAGGTATAAATGTCTAGATCAATGGCTACTTAAATAAAATCCCTGGTCTAGGTTTTGATGTCCATTTTCTTGCTTTTATTACCTTAGTCTCCCTCTTTTTAAAAATGTGTATCAATGTTTTTGCTGCATGTATCATATTCATGCAGTTCCCTTAGAGGCCAGAAGAGGGCATCAGATTCCCCAGGAACTGGAGTTACAGATTGTTGTGAGCCGTTGTTTGGTTGCTAGGAATCCCTTCCTTTGCAAGAATAGCAAGTGCTCTTAACCACTGAGCCATCTCTTCTGTCCCTGTTACTTTAGTCCTGAAACAATTCATTCTCAGTAAAATAGTTTCGTTTCTTCAGAATCTTGGCAAGGAAAAATCCTTTAGATTAAGTTGCATAATGACCGTGTGTGCGTGTGTGTGATTTATTTTTATGTGCATTGGTTTGGCCGCCTGTGTGGGCTGTGTGCTTGAAAAGGTCAGAAGGAAGCTTCAGATCCCTGAAACTGGAGTTATGGGTGGTTATGAGCCTCTGTGTGTGTGCCAGGATCGAACCCTGCTCCTCTAAAGGAACACAGCCAGTGCTCTTAAGTGCTGAACCCTCCCTCCAAACCCTGAATGATAACTTCTTAAGAATGTGGGTTCTTCGGTCATTCTGCTGGGGCGGAATAAGCGGCACCAGGACACGAGGTTAATTTGACTCGACATTCTGGTACAGGGAAAGACGAAGTAGCGAGGCTAGTGTCTGAAATGGCCATGCCCATCTGTGTCACAAGAGGTGGAGAAGCTCAGAGAGCCTGTCTGAAGGAGGGGCGTGTATGCCATGAGAGGGGCGGGAGCCGCGCTTGTCTTTCATAGCAACCTGCCTTCCTGGGAAGTAGCTGCTGTCGTGAGACCCAGCTCACCCCCGATGACCAGCATCAGTTTCAGAGCTGGTGTGACCCAAGCAACCACTGCCAGCTAGGCCAGACCTGGTGCAAGTCCTGCCACCCCTCAGTGTCACCACACTGACCAGCCTTCCTGTAGTGACCCTTGGGTACCCATTCAACCCATAGCACAAGCCACCCCAGACTCCCTGGCGCCTTAGTTCCAGGTAACTCACGATTGTGTCAGTCAGCCATGAACATTGTGAAAAGGAGAACTCGGAGACAGTCCACATCCTTCCAGGACCTGTGGCAGCTAGAAAGTTTAGGACTCCTTTGGCACCAAGCGCTGTGTCCACACCACGTCCAACTCCCTGTCAGTCAGTGAGTGCCCCTTTCCCTTCTTCCCCCACATGCCACACGCTCGTCCTGAGGCCTGTTTCCATGTGGTGTGTATATCTCGCTCTTATCTAGCTTCTTCTTCCATGGCCACGTGCCCCCCCCCCCCCCCGTTTCCACCTCGGTAATCTGTTCCCCCTCAAGCATCTCATGCTACACCCCGTCTTTGATGCCCCTTCCAAGGTCATTTCTCTGTCAGCTAAATCATGGCTGTCACGGTTTTCATCAGAATTCTTTAATGGCTGCCCGTTACCATCTGTGGTCCTCAGAATTTCATGGCCGTCAATCGGGCTGGCCTAAGCTCTGCCATCCATCCCCCTGACATTATCAATCAGCATAATTCAGCCAGGGCTGCCAGAGGGCTGCCAGTTGACTGCAGCCAGGGTTTCTGTTGCGTCTGCACCTGCTCCTGTGTGTTAAAATCCTGCTTCCTAGGTCTTACAGGATTCCTCCCCTCCATTTTAGAAACGGTCACTTCCTATTCGGTGCTAACATATAGTACAGCTTATCAGTACAGCTGATAAGCAGTTAAACGTTTTCATTTCTTCTGGGTTTAATTTATGGTATTGTCTGACAAGTTTTACATCTTAGTTTATATGTCTGTAGTATTGTTGTTCAGACATGGGAATATTTAATAAACATCCATCTTGGTCTAGACACCTAATTTGTGTTATGCATGTTACCTGTCTTGTGCCTACTTTTAAACAGTGGGTGGGGTTTGGCAGTGTAATTATTGAATCTTTTATGGTTTTTCCAGTCACCTGGATGTGTACTTTACAAGAGGTAGCATGATCGTCTGACCGCGTGACCTTATGCAGATTGTGTAGCCTGCCCTAGATGTCAGTTTGTGATGTGGGGAATGGGCGTGATAAAATCGACCTTGGGCTTGTTAAGTGTTTAAAGGAAAAACACACGTTGGCAGAGCCTGCCAATGACAGATGCTCCCCAAAACGATCACAGGGACAAAGGAAGCGGCCCTTAGCCATACTGATGCCTGTTTGTTTTTCTGTGTCTAGGTGGAATATATTTCAGGAAAAGTGTTCTTCACCACCTGTTCCGATCTGAGCTCGATGAAGAAGTTGAAGTCAGCGGAAAGGCTGTTTCTGTTGATTAAGAAGCAGCTTCCAATTGCGGCTTCTTCTCTCCGCAAAGGTACAGCGTGTGCCCACCGCTTTACCCAACTGCCGTGGGACCGAGGCTGTCCGCCCGGCAATTGTGTGTCTCCGTTTCACAGACTCCAGTTCATTCATTGATAGTTACAGAGATTATAGCAGTTCGGTTCCCTGGTATTATCGTATCTATAGCCAGCTCCTCCGCTTCTCTTCAGAACCTGCTGCCTGCCTTCTGGGTTTTATTGTTCACAAGTTTTCTTTCTAGAGATAAATATGCGCCACTGTATTTATTTGATTTTTTTTTAAAACACATAATAACCAGAATACAATTTTGCATCACAAGTTGGTAAAAAAAATAAAAAATAAAAAAAAACCTGTCATCTTATAAAGTTTAACTAAATGATATAGTTGGAAATTATTACATAGTAAAATTTTCTTCTCCTAGAATCTTAAGTGTTTTTAACAAACTTATGCCCATTTATAAAGGCAGCTTGGGAGATTTCGTAGTTACTCCCTAACTTTAAAATTATGTTATATAAATAATTTCAAGATCATGATTAAAGCCATTTTTAAAAGGCTTTAAACAGGATTTAAAGACACCGCAGGATTTAACATTGCCTCAACCTTCACTCTGATTACTGTGTGCATGAGACATCAAACAATTACATAAATCTGAAAGAAGCTATCTCAAGAAAAGTTGCAAATGACCAAAATCAAGACTGGGAAGGGGAAAAAAATTAAAGCAAATCCCAAGGTTTTGTGAGGTTATCATAATTTCCTCCCAGCATCCATACACTGTCCTCTTGAAGGAACTGTAGTGGTAATTTTCAGATCAACTTAGTGACTTTGGTTTATAAGGAAAGGTTAAAGGTCACTGGGCAGGCTGACAGCCCCAAACTTATAAGTGGTTTGTGTATCTGAAGTTTGACTTCATGGAAACTTAAGATTCATGTTAATATCTTTGTGATCTAAAATGAAATGGGTCCAAAGTTCAGCTGCTCTGTTCCTGATCTCGGTATTTTCCGGTTTATGGACAAGGTTACTGTTCTCTCGAAGATCAGTATATCGCCTAGGTCTGTGCATGAGCTCACCATCCGCTGAGTGTGGTATCACAGGATAAATAGCTTTGCTAAAGTAGTGCATGGGATTTCTATAAGTTAGGTCTCTGTATGTAAAATAATGGAGCGTATTCTGCTGTACATTCTTAGGATAAATTACATAAACTCCAAATAAAAGTGAAATTTTGTTCATGTAGCCATTCAGTAAAATATTTTAAAGAAATAAAGGTCATGAAATCCAGATTGATGAATGTAGTAGACAGTTGTCTATAAGCTTGAAGATGGATAAACTGAGGTTTTGTTTATTTAGGAAAAATACTAAATGAAATGCAGAGACTTATAAATGATGATCCAGGAAGTTGGCTGAAGGCCATTTCACTTTGGAAAAAACTCCTTGAACAAGATACAAAAGGAGGAAAAGTCTCTCAGAGGGATACTAACCCACTAAAGCGAAAAGTGGAAGAAAATGAAATTGTCAGTGCTAAGAAGTTAAAACTGGAGGAGATACACAGGGAGAGTCACAGGGAAGACCAGCGGATCAGACTTCCTGAAGACTCCCGGGAGCAGGGGGGTGCTCTCACCAGAGCCGACGGGCTTCAGGAGCAAGGACTCCAGAATGACTTGGTGAAGACAGCTGACACTCAGAGCCAGGAGGACTTGACCTTCAGGGTGTCCTGTCGCTGCAGCGGGAATATCGGAAAGGCCTTCACCGCACAGGTATGCACGCACGTCACCCAGGTGGGATCGTGCTCTCCAAGGGCACACCTCCTACAGCACAGATAAGACGGCCCAGATGGATGATGAGGTCTGACTTCGTTTGATTGTCTGTCTCTAAAAGTACATTTCCCGGTTCAACTTTGCCTCAGCGGCTCCAGAGGAACACTGCCATTCCACATGGCAGCCATTTACTCTCCTCCTAAAGTCCTTCTAAAGTCCATAGAAGTCCACTGCATTTGTAAACGCTGATGTTGTGAGATTATATATATATATATATGGGGGTCTTCTTCATTACAAGCACATGTCTGTTGAGGATCACCCTGCACTGTGTGATGTTTGTAGGTTTGTCCTTGGGACCTAGTCCACAAATACCAGTGCCCATGAAGCCTAGTAGTCTAGGGAGGGTGGACGGACACCGGTTTCCATCCCAAGACCTATTGGTTGGCCCTTACAAAGGTCAGTAGCACAAAACTGGTCTGGATCTTTAGCCAAACTTAGAGTCACACAGACCCTAAAGGTTGAATCTGATGAAACTGATCTGGTCATGGGCAGACATAGAGAATGGTAATAGTTAACCTGTGATCGTGCAGTGTGGTTCATTTCCTTTATTAGAAGGTCATGGTCTTACATCACACACCTAAAATTGCCAGAGTAGAGATTACACACAAGTAGAGCATAATCCTAAGGGGTTTGAAAATGGAGAGAGTGAAATAAAGCACTGTTGCCTTGCACAGGCAGTCTTGGAAGTTACATTTTAATATCACTTAATAGCTAGCTCTTATTTGTTTTAAAGTTTTCTTCTTTCTTATAACCTTACCTTTTCTATAACTTGCCTCCTTGCAGGAGGCAGGAAAAGTGGTTGGAATTGCTCTCATGAGGAAGTTTGGATGGAAAGCCAACTTGAGAAATCCACATTTAGAGGTAATGAATTTCCATCTCGGTTTCTATTCAGCAGGATCACCTCCTTTTCGTACTTTTTGGGTCAACTCCACTTAGAGAAAGTATGTCTGCATGCGTCCAGCAGCCTGCTTCTGCTTCTCTTCGGCAGCCAAATAATACAGAAATGTCTTATCCAGACTGGAGTCACTTGGCCACAGCTGAAGGAAGCATTTATAGTGAGATTGCAGCAGCTCTCTCCATGGTCTTCACATGCGTAACAAATATCTTTATAAGAAATTATTTCGTATAGCTGCTGTGTAAAGAAAATGAATAATAACCTAAAGATTCACAAAACATGATAGTATTGTTACTAGTGGCTTTGTTGGGCTTATGGGATTATGTTTATCTTTTATTTGAGACAAATAAATTCAGGGAGTAACAAAAATTAATCTTCCCTGTATTTTGAAAACCATCTTATGAATTTGGCAGGCAGTTAGTTATTTTAATAATTTATGTATAAATTTATCCCATGTGATCCAACTTTATATGGGGACAGACCTGGCCAAATAAGGCAGAACCATTTGTGAGTTGTTGGAATTTCTTGCCTTTTATTTATACTTTTCACCTCTAAACACAGTATCTGATGTAAATCCAATGGCGTACCCAAAATATTTTGGCCCCCAGATTTTTTGGCATGGTGTTTTCTCCCCCACTTCATCTCCTCTCTGTTTTCTCCTTCATCTCTCTCCTAGCTCCATTACACTGTCAAAATCATCCCACAAAAATGCCATCGTTTTAGCTCTTACCCATCATCTCATGGAGTTTATAATAGCTCTAATGGGTTAAAGTAACCGTACAAAACCGTAATTGGTGTTAAAGCAATGTTTAGTAAAATGTATGACTCAAATCAATGAAGAATCAATCCTTAAATTTTATCCTGTAAAACTGATAGGAAATCAGTTTTATAGTGGGAGAAGCTGTTTTTGACATTTGGTATTTGAAAATGAAATTAATATATATTAAAATTTGAAATAGAACAGAATTCTATTGAATAATATTGCTAAAATGCAGAATCAGTACAATTGGCGAATTCAGCTGTGGTGTTTCAGTTGATGGAGAAATTGTCCCCAAGTGGGGAGGACCACCTCATGCAATTCTTGATGACAGTTTCCCGTATTAGAACGGCCCTGTGAAAGTGCTAGTGTCGAGCCTGACCTCAGGGCTGGGGCGTGGCTC